GCGATTTCATCAATTGTCACTTCTAACACAGAAAAAAATCATAAATGACTGAGACTAATTCTCTCTTTCTTAACAACAATGAAAGTGGAGTCATCATTCAGATAGTTTCATGTTGAAACCACCCAGACCCCGAATTAAGGACATACACAACATAGTTTTGAACTTTATTTCTTAGTCCCTAACTTGTTGAAGAGTTTCAATTACTGAAGAACTTTTATGTGACTTTATAATGCCTAATGATGCTGTACATCTTAACAACTTCTGAAACAAATTTTGGAGAAATACCAGCTAAAATATATTTGATAATTTTTGCACACATTTCTTTGAATAACACAATAATTTTCATTATTTGATATTTCCATTTATTTAAAACCCTGATTATGTATGCTGAAGAACATCTGATGGTATTATGCTCTTATATTTAAATATCTTGAAAAATTCTCAATATGTAAGGTATGTTGTGTATTATCTTAAATCATAAGAATCATTAGTGCCTACAGACTCAGATTAGCATTGGGGCCCATGGCCCTCATTTTCTTTAATTTTGTACGTATGCACGCTAAATTGAAAAAAAAGCTAGGTTTATCATCCTGAACTTTAATTTTCTGGCAAGTTTTTGCAAGAATTTGTATCCAAAAAATGTTTTTTAAATATTTTTATCCCAACTGGCCCCCAGGATTAAAATGAAAATGCACGTCTACAAGACACCACCATTTATATCACGTGCACCTGAAATGTGGACCGGTACCCCCCCCCCCCCCCACTTTAATTATAAAAAAAATTGTAAGAGCCAATAATTTCTTTAAAATATGATATTTCCTCCGTCAATCACATCCATATGTCGTTCCATGCAAGCAGATCGTACTTTTTATTACGTTTATAGAGATTGGCAATGTACGGAAAAATAAAAATACCATGGTCAATCTCTAAACGTAAGAACGAATACAATCTGTCTGCATAGATTGAAATATGAAAGCGATTGACGGGCAATTTTTTTTTATTCAATTATTTTTTTTTTCTTTTTAGAAATCATAAGCTCTTACTATTTCATTTTTTAAATTAAAAGCTGGGGGGGGGGGGGGTTATTCATGTTACAGGTGCCAGTGATTTACATTATGAGATGATATGACTTCTGCATAAAATGTAAGAGGAGTTCTAGGAATTTCTAGATCATCATTTTTTGTTCCCCAAGGTGAAAGTGAAAACTCCAAAAATCGTATTGCACTTCTTGGAAATATTGATATTTTACTTCAACTTGGAAGCTATGTTACAACGCACTTTGAAAAATTACGCACTTTGAAAAAAATTTTCAAAGTGCGTTAATTTTGGGACCACGTTAACGCACTTTGAAAAATTTTACTTTTTTTTCAAAGTGCGTTAATATCGACCATATTAACGCACTTTGAAAAGAAAATGTGCACGGCTTGGTCAATATTCTTGCAAATTTTAGGTATGAAAAATAATTATTTGAACCTGGTTTAATACTTTTTCAGTGATGATGTCACTTCAGGATCTGAGATAAAGACGTTTTAAAGATATTTAGGGGTTGTTTTCTTCCCGACAGTTCTCGTAAATGTTATAAAGGGAAATAGGTCTTATAGAAATGATTGCATAATTTCGTTCCTTTTTTATTTAATCCATTCTGTAATAAGTTCAGTGGATGAAGGGGTCGATATGTGACTTAAAGCATGGATTTTTCTTTGGGAAAAAGGAGCAATTATGATTTTTCTCCACCATGAAAATTCTCTCTTTCTCTCTCTCTTTCTATCTATCTCTCTTTCTATCTCTCTCTCTTTCTCTCTCTCTCTCTATATATATATCTATTATATTCAATATGAACATACGCTAGTCTGATTAATTTGATAGTAATAAAATAAAACATTAGCCCCAATACTCATTCGACTGGAACTCTTAAATTTTTTATATCATAATAAGGCTAGATATAATTATATCAAATTTAAAAAAATTCTAAGATTCTGGTACATGTATGTAATATTTGCCCTGTCCGTCCGTCTGTCTGTCTAGCTGTTTTTCTGTTTGTCCGCAAAAAACTTTAACCTTGTCCATAACTTTTGATTGGGCGGAGCTTTGACTCTCATGTCCCACATGCGTATTTCTTGTGACCTTTCTTTGGGTAACAACATATCTGAACTTTTAACTTTGACCTAGGAGTCTGAGCTAATTTTATTTTCCTGAAAATGAACATAAATAGACTTTCAGTTTTAAAAGAACTAAATTTCGATTAACTAAAGACTTCCTTATACAGTGCTTTCTACTGTATTTAGAATGTTCCATTTTTTTCTTCAAATATGACCTTAAGATGTACGAGTTATGTAAATAAATATATCTGGGTAGGAATGATAAAGAGTTGAGCTGAGAGATCTTCAACCTGACTTTTCTTCGTTGTTGATGAGGGTTGATCAATTCATCAGTTTTTAGAAAGAAATACAACAAAACAAGGGCACCGCAAAGCGGAGCATTCCTTCCCCAAAAGCATATTCTATAAATCAAGGCAGCATTTGACATCGACACTAACACACAATCGCGTTACTATATCCCCTCAAACGTTGCGAGGGGATAATGATGTTGTCTATTACTAAAATTTAAGTCCAAAATTTTGTTTTATACATATTTTTTTCAAAGTGCGTTAAGTGTGTACATGGTTAAAAATTATGATGTACACTCTTAACGCACTTTGAAAAATTTTTTCAAAGTGCGTTGATTTGGTCCCAAATTCACCGCACTTTGAAAAAATTTTTCAAAGTGCGTTGATTTTGTCCCAAAATTAACGCACTTTGAAAATTTTTTTCAAAGTGCGTAATTTTTTCAAAGTGCGTTGCCACAAAGCTACTTCTCTAGTAAAATACAACTTGTCCTGTCTCTCCATATATATTTAACCTGTGTGTAGAGATTATGGGATACATTATTAGACAAAATTAAAATATAAAGGGAATAAAAATAGGTGAGGAAAAAATATGTTTACTTCAATATGCAGATGACACAGTAATGTTTTTAGATGGTTCAGAAAAAAGCCTAAAAAGTGCTTTAGATCTTCTTCTTCAATTTTCAAAATTTTCAGAACTTAAACCAAATATTACTAAAACAAAAGCTATATGGATAGGTTCTGAAATAAATTCCAGAAACACATTATGTAATGAAATAGGACTTCAGTGGACAGTGGAACCGTTTACAGTCCTCGGCATTACATACACTGCTGATTTAAAAAATATGGAACAGCTAAATTTTGAGAAATGTTTTCAAAACATTAAAAAGGAAACAATATCATGGTCAAAAAGAAATATATCTCCATTAGGGAAAGTTACAGTAATAAAGAGTTTATTTTTATCAAAACTTACACATTTGTTTACTGTTCTCCCAAAGCCAAACAAAAAGTGGATTAAAGATTTGGAAAAACATCTTTAAAACTTTATATGGAACAATAAAACAGAAAAAATCTCAAGAAAAACAATGCAACTTTCCAAAAAGAATGGTTGTCTTAAAATGACCAATATTGACTGTTTTATTAAATCTTTAAAATTAACTTGGATCAGAAGATTACTATTTACAAAGTCTAGTTGGATCCCACTGTTCACTGAAATAACAAAATGTAATATTGTAAACCTGTCCCATTTTGGGCCAGAATATTCAAAAGCTTAAGCAAAGAATACACAAAATAGCTTTTGGAAAGAAGTACTGTATGTATTTTCAGAATTCTTAAGTCTTATAACATGTAACTCGAACCAAGGAGATATTTTGTTGGAACCTCTGTGGTATAATAATAAAATTATAAAATTATGACTCAAAATAAGTATGTTTTTTCAAGGCCATTGTATGAAAAGGGATTTATTGTAGTTGGTGATTTATTTGACAGTAATGGTAACTTTATATGCTTTGATGATCTTGTTAAAGAATTTTCTTTAAAAGTCCCTTGCATAAAAAGGGCAATTTTTGCATTCTTGGCCAAATGTTAGAAATGTTGGTATAAATTCTGTCACAAGACCTTATCAGCCAAAATTTGTGGAAATCATCAATAAAGATAAAAAAGGTTCTAAAACAATTTATGATACATATTTGTCATTATATGTACATGTATATACGTACTTCACCAAAGTGTGAATCAAAATGGGCTAAAGAACTGCAGTTACAGCAGGATTTTAATTGGAAATTAATTCATAAAAATATTATTCAATAACAAAAGACACAAGGCTTTTATGGTTTAATTTTAGAATCATACATAGGATTCTTGGTACAAATAAGTATTTGTTTTTGTCAAAAATGAGAGAAAATAATCTATGTTCTTTATGTCAGCAAAATGTTGAATCAATTGTACATATTTTCTTTTATTGTCCTAAAGTTAACCCATTGTGGTCTCTTTTAGAAGATTGGATATTTGAAAAAACTGGAAAAATAATAAGATTTGATGTATGCACAGTTATACTTGGTTCTTCTAAAGAAGACACAATTATTAATCTTATATTGCTACTTATTAAACAGTACATTTTTCAACAATCAAGAAAAAACCAAAATATAACTATCCAAAATATCATTAAATACTTATATGTGTATTATAAATTTGAAGAAAAATTGTATAAATTTAAAAATGAACTTCATGTGTATAAAAGAAGATGGATTAACTGGAACCAGATATTTGAAAACATAAACATATAGATAAATTTATGTCATCTATATTATTATTTTAGTATATCTTGTGTATTCATATTTTTTTTATATTTCATGTTTATTCCTAAAATTCTGTATGTAAGCTTTCTAGCCGTGGTGTGTCTGTGTTTGTGTATGCGTATGTATGTTTGTTTATGTCTAAAGTCAATTAAAAAAAAAACAACTTGCGCTGTGTGTATTTTAATTACTTTTACGCAATTTTATTTTATCATATTAAATTGATTACTGTCTTTTTCTTTGTCTACAATTGTATGTCTTTCACGCCTCTCTGGAACCCATGATCAGAAATCAATTATTGTCTATTGTCATCGGGGTGAACCCACCCGTTACCTTTAAAAATGTTGCTGTGTATTGAGACATACTTTGTAAGTAAATAGCAGGTGTACGTGTAACATGCGTTAACAGAAACACGACGTTGCATAAACGACATCTATAGAACAACTGTTTTCTAGGCCACCAAGGTGTTCTCTTACACCAAAATTAAATAGTCTTAAAAATGACAAGAGGACGAAATAATATTCGAGGTAGGGGAAGGGGGCGTGGCGGCCGAGATGGTCGGCGTGGCCGTGGGGGTAGTAGGCGACGAATAGGGAGAAGAAATCCGACAAATTTCGACACAAAAAAGAAGGTTCCAGTTGAGGTGAACTTAGAGACAAACCCTCAGGAATATTTCACGTCTAACATCACCGTGGAGCAGCATTACAACGGACAGAATGAGAATCGAGTGCGGTACTCAGCAGCAATGGCAGTATTACAGGAAAACGGTGTTGAAGTAGCGCAAAGTAAGTTTGAATCCTTATTTGACTTGAAATGAAAAAAAGACCAATTTTAAAAAAGAATCAACCAATGTTTAATATGACAGTTAAATTGGCGTCGTGTTGTGTGCTTTAATTGTAGGGTTTTAAAAACATTAATAGAAGAAGAAGATATTTAATACTTGTTAGAATTCCTGACTGGTTCATGATTCTAACGTTGGTCATACGTTTATAGTCTGTACATGTTAAGTATATGAGAAAAAGAAAAGTAGTAAATTTTGTTTTGATAATGCACACTTACTAATCGATGTATGCCACCCCCCCCCCCCTTCCAAATGTGTTCATTGGGAAAAAAGAAGAAGATATTTAATACTTGTTAGAATTCCTGACTGGTTCATGATTCTAACGTTGGTCATACGTTTATAGTCTGTACATGTTAAGTATATGAGAAAAAGAAAAGTAGTAAATTTTGTTTTGATAATGCACACTTACTAATCGATGTATGCCACCCCCCCCCCCTTCCAAATGTGTTCATTGGGAAAAAATCAAACTCCGATTGTATTTTACCTAATTTCCAATTATTTATGTATTGTGTAATGTGTCGTTGAATTTCAAGAGGACTTGCTCTACACAGGCCCGTAGAACGCGGGGGGGGGGGGGAGGCACGGGGCCGCCCCCCTTTTTTCTGAGTGTAGTATTTTGCAGTAGTTAATTTTCCTTTAGATGCTGCCCCCCCCCCCCCACACACTTTTTAATGTTTAAGGTCTAGCACTGTCAAATTCCAGGATTTGGACAGTAAATGACCTTTTTTTTTAAATTTTTTTTTGATTGTCAGACTTTTTGGGAAGTTGCCCCCCCCCCCCCCACTTTTTAAACCGTCGCTACGGGCCTGCTACAATCAATAAGTGTAACACAATTTTATATTTCAGATGCTCGAATTCGAGCACTTGCCACAGCATGGGCGAGGAAAGATTTCCAGTTGGCCGAGTCTTTCCTACAGAACAGAGACAACTTTGGTCTCAATGAAGTCTTGAAGGCCCTCCAGCTCCTGGACGCTGGACGTCAGGCCAGGGTGCTGGAAAAAAAGATGAAGATGCTGCAGGTGTCCAAAAACAAGGTTAAGCCCAAAATGATTGGGAAACTTAAGTCGGACATCTATAACCTTAATAGGATGAAATCCCCAGTAAGTAGCTATTATTTTCGAAATATTCATCCCTCCCTCAATTAAAATCTGTAATTTGGGACATACGACCAATGATCTTTAGCCGTCATTATTAAATGAATTTTTAACTGAAATTACCCAAAGTTTTGGCAATTTGACATATATTTTGACTCTTAGGTGTTGAAATTCCTTACTAGTATAAAAACGCAATGAGTCAATTGAACATTGTGAATTATATATATATATACACTACAGTATGGATCTGCTAGTGGTGCTGTCTGCAAACACATCAGGAGGTGGGTCCGGCATTTTACCGCAAAAGAACTGGAGTTTTATGCCATTCATTTTCCCAAAGACCCATGGAAGAAGCTAGCAGACATCTGCCACTTTCATCCACAGAAGGTATTATCTTTTTTCAGTCTTTCTTGAATTTTTTCCCTCTGTAAACCATTATAAAAGACTGGGTAATCTTTTCAATGTTGTACTCTATCTCTTTCTGTAGGATTTTCCCTCACTAGAGTGGTTCCTTCCTTACTGCTATGGACAGGGGGCACCACCTGAGACGACTGTCGGTCGTATGGTGACAATGACAGCGGAGAATGTGAATGAAATGCTCGAGGACCTGTCAATTCCATATCTGTCAGTGAAATCACATAAAGATAAGCTGACCAACGCCTCCAAAGGCCACATAGCAGACCGTGAGGACAAACTGGATACCATCCTCTGGTTAGTTCATCATTTTCAGAATATTGTCAAATTTTACACAAAATTCACCATTTTAAGCTCACCTGAGCTGAAAGTTCAAGTGAGCTTTTCTGATCACCCGTTGTCCGTCTTAAACTTTTCACATTTTCAACTTCTCTAGAACCACTGGGCCAATTGTAACCAAAATTGGTTCAAAGCATCCTTAGGTAAAGGGTAGTTTAAATTGTTAAAATAAAGGGCCAAGCACCCTTCCAAGGTGAGATCATCAAGAAAAGACAAAAATAGGATTGGGTCATTAAAAAAATTTTCTTCCCAAGAACCACTGGGCCAGAAAAGCTGAAACTAATGTGGAAGCATCCTGGGGTACACTGTAGTGCAGATTCTAAGTTTGTTCAAATCATGACCCCTTGGGGAAGGGTGGGGCCACATTAGGGAATCTACTAGTACTTTTTTCATTAATATATATAGGAAAAATCTTTTTAAAAAAAACGTTCTTCTCAATAACCACTGGGCCACAAAAAGTGAAACTTGAGTGGAATTATAGAAATAGTCACTAGTCAGATGATTAGTGAAGTGATGATAATTATGCTTTTACCTAATTTATAGATTAAATAAATTAGTAAACAAAATCCTTTAATCATTTCTTAGTCAATTTTATTTTTAAAACCAATTTGATGGAAAATGTTTATTATTACTCTGTGATTGATCGCCCATGTGGCGCAGTGGTTAGAGCGGAGTAAGGAGTTGATCCTTAGGTCGCGGGTTTGACTGTGGAACGTGGAGACCGGTCCTTCGAATGAGACCGTATAAACTGAGGTCCCGTATCGCAGTAGGTGCTGGCACGAAAAAGATCCCTCACTGCTCAATGGCTGTAAGTGCCGAGTATAGGACAAAAATTTGCAGCTCTCCACCGGCAAGTGGTGGGGTCTCCATATGAGTGAAAAATCTCAAGAGGGACATTAAACAACATACAAACAAAAAACTCTGTGATTGCTCAATTTTATTTAACAATGCGTTATAGGTGGTATGAGGAACTGGCATGCAAGGAAGTAGACGATGCAATACAGAGGAGGTTAGAGAATGGTGACCCTGTGACCCTACCAATTGGTAAACTCCTGGAAAGACTGCTAGTATTCAAAAGGCTGTTTGATGGCAGCTCTGACGAGGACAGGAAGGCTAAGTTCTACAGAGACCTTCTAAGGATTGCTGAGGACAGACTTAAACAAATCAAGTATGCCCTCAGTTACCATACAGATGTTCAAAAGAGAATTCTGGTGATAAATTCAAGTATAATGTTTTAAAAACCTTCTGTTTAATATCTTGTATTCTGTTTTGTGAACATGCAATTTTTTCCTCTGCAAAAAAGAGAGATTAATATATATATTTTATAGGCTTCCCCTTGAGTCCCCAGTCCTGGTGATGGGTGATGCTTCCTCATCCATGTCCGTGGCAGTAAAAACCAGCACCATCATTGCGGGAATTCTGACAGCCATAACTTCAGCTAAACTCTCCTTCTTCAACGGTACTCACAAAGAGCCAGAGAAAGTACCGACAAATGTGGAGGAGGTTTGTTTTTTGTATTTAGAAACTTGCCAATTTCATTCTTTTTTTAAATTAAAAGTATCAATGTCCTATATTGCTTTTTGATGTGTGTTTAGCTTTGAGTGCATTGGAAAGTTTGCAAAAATTTAAAGTAGATGAAATATGAAGACAACGAACAGTACTCAAGCTCAAAAGTCAATTGAAACAATACAAATTTGGAGCAGAGCAAACACGGACCTCTTTTAACATCTCAGGTGGGATCAGGTGCCATGGAGGAGTAAGCATCCCCTGTAGAAATTTCTGACATGGTTCAAACAATTTCTATACTTTTGAAAGTGGATAATAGCTTAGTAGACTATTTTCCATTAAATATTGTTTCATTTTATGTACATCATATCTCAAAAATACAACTCATTAAGGTCGTACACAATGTACATGTACTTGAATTTTACAATGTACCTTTCCTACTGATAATTTTCGAAGATATTCTTAACTTAAAATCATAACACCATCGGATGTTCTTAGAAAAAAAATCAGCACACATTACCAGGAGTTTTGAACAGATACCAAATGATGTAAATCCTTGTAATTTTTTAAGAAAAATTAAGAAAAAATTCTTTTCAGCTGATATTTCCTCAAAATATGATTCAGAAAGGTGTACAGCATTACCAGGCATGATAAAATAGTACAAAGGTCCTCCAATTATTGGAACTTATAAATTATGCAGGGAATAAGAAAAAGTTCAAAACTATGTTGCACATGTCCTAAATATTGGTACTAGTACATGTATTTTTTTTACATTAGGTGTTACAACTAGCTTTGAACACCCCTGCTTCAGGATACACAGCAAATGCCGCCAGTTTGTATCCTTTTTATGAACGGAAAGAGGTCTTGAAGACACTGATCATGGTCACCGACGAAGAAGAGATTCTCAAATTCAAAAACTTCAGGTGATATATGTATATATATATATGTATATATATATATATATATATATATATATATATATATATATATATATATATATATATATATATATATATATTGTGTATTGCTTAAATAAAAATTATGAACTTTTTTTGTCATTTTCTTGATGGGATAATAAATCTGTTAAGATGTCTATCAACAATGATCAATACATGTGTCAAGACACAGCAACAAATAGTTCATGCATTTTTATGCTCAATCTAATTTTATATGTTCGCAGATTCAAAGAGTTGTACACCAAGTACTGCGAGGAAGTTTACCCAGCCAAGCTGGTATTTGTATCCTTCCTGCAAAGGCAGCACGCTAAGGGTCAGATGGTCAGCCAGTTCAAAGCCGAAGGAACTGAAGTCATGCAGTTCGTGTTCCACCGATCACAACCAGATCTGACAAAACTAGACAAGTTGTTTGGATTGCTGTCTGCAGAAACTCAGACATTCGAGGACCAGATTAAGACTACAGAGGAGAGAATTAAGACCGAAGGCGTGTCCAAGGTGTTCAAGGAGCTGAAAACCAGTTAGGGACAATGCTATATTTGACGTGCAATAACGTGACAGAGTGTAGCAGAATAATGTGAAGTATCTGTGATATACATGTAACTATCTTACAGAATGAACTTGTTTGACATAAGGTTTTAATGTGTTTTGTGATAAACCGTAAATAGTACATGTACTTATTTAACTGATTATGTACTTCATTTCTTATTGGCTGTTTTATAGGATGTTACATGTTTTTGTATGATACTCATTATGTAATGATTTTATTGAATACCTGTATTTTACTTTTGGTCATGATATGTGTATGATTTACATTTTGTAAATTGTCAGTACAGTGAGTGCTGATGCAATAAACCCTTGCAACAGTTGCAATTCTTTATTATGAATAAGGAATATGATTTCTCTATAAAACTGTGCAGAGTAAAATGCTGGTAATTTTTCTCCAACACGACATTCTTTGGGTCTGGAGACTTTTCCACTGAGACTTAATTTTCACTTGAAACACATGGCTTTAGATTGTGATTTGTTGCTTCCAACACAGAAAAGGTCATAAACCTGAGACTAGTTCTCTCACGTTTAAAAAACATGGAAAGTGGGAGTCATAGTTTTATGTTGAAACCACCCAGACCCCAAATAAAGGATAAACATGTACACAACTTGGTTTTGAACTTTTTTCCCAAGTCCCTGTCTAAATGAAGAGTTCCAATAACTGAAGGACCTTTTTGTGACTTTTATAATCCGGCCCCCATGATGCTGTACACCTTAAAGAAATTTTGAGGAAATAACAGTGAAAAGTACACATGTATCTGTTTTGTAAGAACTATATGCGGTTTATGCATATTTTTGCCCCCACAAAAGTCATATTTTGAAAATTTCTTGAAATATGCTGAATTGTATATATTGAATGAGAAATTTAAATCAACAAAAAATATTATAGTTTCAAAGAAGGTTATTGACAATTTTTTTTCTATGACGTCACAAACTATTCGGATTTTGTATTATTTTTTTCAGAAAGAGGGAAAATGGACAAATTTTGTTCACTTTTTACTATAAAATTTATAGAGCGCAGGCTTGCTCCAGAACAATATCTACATATTTCATTGATATTATCATTTTACACATTATATCAAAATATTGAGCTTGAGCAGACCTGGGCTCAGTGACTTTTACTCAAAATATCGACGTAATATACACCTTTTTCTGTAGAAATCATGGAAATTTTGAATTTACGTCATTTTCCTGACGTCATATCAAACATATGAAGTCATGGCTTATGAAAATATTCAGTGCTTTGAAGTCTGCAGATATCTCCCTGTTCTAGAACATAATTATATATTTCTCCGTCAAAGTTTAATTTTGGGGGCAAGTATTGGTCATAACCGAATATAGTCCTTTGTTGTACATATTTCTGATTAGAATGAAAGAAAAAGTGAGCAAGCTCACATACCCCACGCTCCCCCAAAACTCGACAATGCAACACATACTGAATGGCACAGTGCAGTTTAAATACACAGTATAATTCAAAAAGGGGCATTACTTGCAAAAAATCATCACATCAAAACTTCCTGCATATAAGGACATTCAAATCATTGTATGTTGCAAATTTAATTGGGCTGAAGTTTCTAGATAAATAATGGAATCAAAATTTCTTGGTAATATACAAATATATACATTATGTCTGAAATACCTACAAAGTTTCATGAAACTCAGTGCAGGAGTTATGCTGACAAACTGTTATTTAAATTCCTCTATGATTTCGATTTGTTAATGAGTGTAAGTCAATTTCCAACACATGACAACTTACACATTTAAATAATTGATGGAAACAAAATTATGATGTAGTCATATGAATTTGTTTATATACTGTACTTACGAAATTATTTAAGGCAAAGCACCAATTTGAAGGGGGGGAACTATCCAAGATTCAAGATTTTGTGTGTGTGTTAAATCATTAATATTTTGATCTCAAAATCGATAGGGGTCTTTTAAGGTCATAAAATATTTCACATAAAATGTCATTATAAAAGGCTGATTCTAGTGGATTTCCTTATTACCTAGCTGGAAAGTTTCTTCAATAATAGGCAAAACTCTTAGGGCAAAAATAATGGAATCAGAATTTCCTGGTAATATGCACATCTACACACTGTGTCCTAAAAATCTGCAAAGTTTGATGAAATTCTGTGCGGCAGTTTAAGAGGAGTTGCTCTGACAAACTGTTCATATCTATATTCAAGATATGGCCAAAAATCTAAGTTGAAAAGTGCCGAGATTCCCAGAAAAATAAAGGAATCGGAATTTCCTGGTAATATGCACATCTACACATCGTGTCCTAAATATCTGCAAAGTTTGACGAAATTCTGTGCAGCGGTTTAGGAGGAGTTGCGCTGACAAACTGTTCATCTCTATATTCAAGATATGGCCAAAAATCTAAGTTGAAAAGTGCCGAGATTCCCAGAAAAATAAAGGAATCGGAATTTCCTGGTAATATGCACATCTACACATCGTGTCCTAAATATCTGCAAAGTTTGACGAAATTCTGTGCAGCGGTTTAGGAGGAGTTGCGCTGACAAACTGTTCATCTCTATATTCAAGATATGGCCAAAAATCTAAGTTGAAAAGTGCAGAATTTCCCAGAAAAAATAAAGAAATCAGAATTTCCTGGTAATATGCACATCTACACATTGTGTCCTAATTATCTGCAGTTTGATGAAATTCTGTGCAGCGGTTTAGGAGGAGTTGCGCTGACAAACTGTACATCTCTATATTCAAGATATGGCCAAAAATCTAAGTTGAAAAGTGCCGAAATTCCCAAAAAAATAAAGGAATCGGAATTTCCTGGTAATATGCACATCTTCACATTGTGTCCTAAATATCTGCAAAGTTTGACGAAATTCTGTGCAGCGGTTTAGGAGGAGTTGCGCTGACAAAAAAACAGGACTGACTGATGGACGGGTCAAAACATTATACCCCCCGCAACTAGTTACGTGGGGTATAATAACACAAGAATTTTCATAATTTGATATATACTCATATTTAAAGCCCCTGATAATGTATTCTGAAGAACATGTGATAGTACTATGATCTTAAATTAAGACTATCTTGAAGAATTATCAATAGGTAATTGTATGACCTTAGGATATCTGCTCCTCAGTCAGGAACAAGAACTCTTAAATTATTATTTAAATATAATTAATATTTAATATAATTAATAATTATTTAAATGAAGCTTGAAATTGAAATCTTTTTGTGCAACAATATTCATTTCATGCATCTCAACATGATTCAAGGTTCTTTAAAGTCTTGGAAACAGTCTTGTAAAAAGTTAACATTTGTACCCTATAAAATTATTAAAAAAAAAAAAAAAATAAAAACATTTTCAGAGAAATCGAATTTCCTTTAATCTAGCCTTAGATACCAATGTTTATTAGCATGATATAAAATTAAAAGTGATCTGTGATGTCTTGCAATTGTAGCACAAGCTTTTTACACTATGAATTGTATAACAATTGATGTAAAAATTAGAAGGAAAAAATATACTGTTTAAGTAAATAAAAACACCCCCCCACCCCCCAAAAAAACAATTTTCTCCAAATGTCTGGGTAAGTATAGTTTTTATCATAAAATTTATTTGTTAAACAATTTTCAGTTGGAAAATGCAAACCGGGTGCTTTAATTTATGTTTTCTGAAAATATATTTGAGATTTGATAATTTTCCCTATAAGATGATTAAACATAATAATGATTACTGATTATTTTCTGAATTATCAAATATAGCAAAGTGAGAATTCTTAGCACAGGACTTCAGTCCACTGAGGTAGTTTAGAATTTGTTACTCTTTCACCTTTATAAAGCATAATAACGATAATGTAAAAACAAACCAGAAGTCTCTGACGAGACTGTAGCTCTACTGGTTGTATTTATAAAGGAAGATAAAAGTAGCACTTTGACTTGAAACTTTGCAACAGCAATAAACAGAATAATGATCCTTGGTTTAGTCTCTTTTGTGGCAAGATTTATTATTATATCAGACTAAAACTGTAGGAGGAGTAGCCTTTTAAAACAATTTTACAGAAATTTTGATTTAAGTAACCATGGCAACATCATTCAACAAAATCAAAAAACAATAACACCAATTATGTATCTCTGTAGTCTACTCGTATGCCACATTATACTGAAATCAGACAAAAAGTGTAGGAGGAGTAGCGTTTTGAAAGTATTTCAAGAAAATTTCTACTTTTAGTAACCATGGCAACACCGTTCATTGAAATCCAAAACTGGTACAAAGAATTATGTATCTTAGTGTAGTCTAATTGTGTGCTAAGTTATACTAAAATTAGACCAAAACTGTAGGAGGAGTAGCATTTTGAAGGTATTTCAAGGAAATTTCTATCTTTAGTAACCATGGCAACACTGTTCATCGAAATCCGAAACTGGTACAGAAAATAATGTATCTTAGTGTAGTTTACTTGTGAGCTAAGTAATACTAAAATCAGACCAAAACTGTAGGGGTAGCATTTTGAAGGTATTTCAAGGAAATTTCTATTTTTTAGTAACCATGGCAACAATGTTCATCGAAATCAGAAAACCAATATAAAGAATTATGTATCTTAGTGTAGTCTACAAGTTTGCCAAGTTATACTGAAATCAGACCAAAACTGTAAGAGGAGTAGCATTTTGAAAGTATTTCACAGAAATTTCTATTTTTAGTAACCATGGCAACACCGTTCATTGAAATCAAAAACCGATATACAGAATTATGCATCTTAGTATAGTCTACTTGTGTGCCAAGTTATATTGAAATCAGATAAAAACTGTAGGAGGAGTAGCATTTTGAAAGTATTTCACAGAAATGTCTATTTTTAGTAACCATGGCAACACCGTTCATTGAAATCAAAAACCGATACACAGAATTATGTATCTTAGTATAGTCTACTTGCGCGCCAAGTTATATTGAAATCAGATCAAAACTGTAGGAGGAGTAGCATTTTGAATGTTTTTCACAGAAATTTCTATTTTTAGTAACCATAGCAACACCGTTCATCGAAATCAAAAACCGATACACTGAATTATGTATCTTAGTGTAGTCTACTTGTGTGCCAAGTTATATTGAAATCAGATCAAAACTGTAGGAGGAGTAGCATTTTGAAAGTATTTCACAGAAATGTCTATTTTTAGTAACCATGGCAACACCATTCATTGAAATCAAAAACCGATACACAGAATTATGTATCTTAGTATAGTCTACTTGCGCGCCAAGTTATATTGAAATCAGATCAAAACTGTAGGAGGAGTAGCATTTTGAATGTTTTTCACAGAAATTTCTATTTTTAGTAACCATGGCAACACCGTTCATCGAAATCAAAAACCGATACACTGAATTATGTATCTTAGTGTAGTCTACTTGTGTGCCAAGTTATATTGAAATCAGACCAAAACTGTAGGAGGAGTAGCATTTTGAATGTTTTTCACAGAAATTTCTATTTTTAGTAACCATGGCAACACTGTTCATTGAAATCAAAAACCGATATACAGAATTATGTATCTTAGTGTAGTCTACTTGTGTGCCAAGTTATACTGAAATCAGACCAAAACTGTAGGAGGAGTAGCATTTTGAAAAATTGTTTACAGACGGACGGACAGACAGACAGACAGACGGACAGACAGACGGACGATGGACACCTTACTATCGCATAAGCTCTTCTGGTCTCTGACCAGTAGAGCTAAAAACAAACAAAACAAAACAAAACAAAACCAGAATAAAGGGGGAGGGGGCTGTATGCGAGGTAAGTCAATGCTTCATTTGTGTTTATCAATTTCAAAAATAATCATACCATACCATTTTCTTAAAAAAATTTTACTTCTAAGCATGTAAAATTTTGTCATTTCAAGATGCAAGTACATATATTATAATTTAAAAAAAAATGAAGAGAATATATAACAAACAATTCATGAATTGCATAAGAAGGAAAAAAAACATCAAATACACTGTATCAAAAAAAGAAAATTGCTGCTTTTCAACATTAATGCATGTGTATATAAATATATATAAAATGGTAGCTTAAATAATGTTTTTCTGAAAATAAATATTACCTCATTATGTACTTATCTTGAAAAGATTTATATGTATATACCATATGTATATTTACTGTTTACTGTTAGAACTTTCAGCCATATTGGCTGTTCAGACAGTTATGAAAAGTTCAAAACGTCAATACATTGCTGATTAGGTCGTAATATTAAGCATTAAATATAATGTAGAAGTTTGGTAACATTCAGGTGAACAAGTTGATAAAGCTGTAAGTTGAACTCTCTGCAGCTGTTCCATATTGTCAGTCCAGCAATGTTGCACCATCCTGATCATCTGCAACCTATTAATTAAAATTACAAAAATTAATTTAAATTAAATAAGCTACCTTATTGAAAAACAAGCCTTGTTGGGTACTTCCCCACTTTTAGTGTATTTTTGTACCATCTAGCTTCTAACATAAAGAGCAGCAGCATTGGATCAGATTTTAAAAAAATAATTGATTTTAATCAGAATGGTTCACAAATATGTACAATTTTCATTATACAGACAGAAAAATAGTAATTTGGGCTATATGGAACATGGATTTCAGCCTGGGTAGCTCAGTGGTTAGAGCACCTGACTAGTGATTCAGGGCAGGGGACCTGGCTTCGAATCCTGGTCTTGTTTGTTGCAATTTTCTCCCTCACCAGTTACATTTGGTGCCAGGCCACACCCTGGAAGTGACATGTGAAAGACCTGCCAGGGAAGGTCCAGGTTGATGTCTTTTGGGGGGAAGACCTTTAAGGAGGGAGGTGTATGGTGATCAGACAGGTTTGATGGCCAGTGGCCAAATAGCTCAGTTGGTAGAGGACCTGACTAAGGATTCAGGGGACCAGGGTTCAAATCCTGGTCTGGTTCATCACATTTTTCACTCTCCAATAACAATAAATAATAATATTTCACATTACTAAGAGATTCAGTAATATGTAAGCTTGTCAGTTGTTTAAGCAAAAGAAATAAATAAGTACATGTAATAGTTCTTAGCTGATTAAGTCAAGATACAAGTTGACTTACTTCCATCATCTTTGCATGATCAATGTTCATGGACCACAGACTTTCTGGACACACCCTAAATCTGTGTTCTGGTAGCTTCAGTTCATAAGTCTCATAAGCCAGTCGCATCTGTCAAAAGTAGCCATTGCAGTTCAAGGTCATCAATCATTTTATTTAAAAAAATTTTAAACTTTCAAACATGACAGTCTGCATGACAATTTAAACAGAGAGTTTCTCAAAAAATTGCTTAAGATGTTCTCAAAAATATAAGGATGTTATGACAGTCTGCATGACAATTTAAACAGAGAGTTTCTCAAAAAATTCCTTAAGATGTTCTCAAAAATGTAAGGAACTGCATGGTTCATAAAATTTTTCACTCTCTGATAATTTCCTTTTGGAAAAGCAAACTTATATAATTAGCATTTGATTAATTTTCATTCAGAGATTCTTATAAAAAGACTTTAGTGCACATTAAATATGGTTATCCACAATGACTCATATCATTTCAAATATGCACCCTCACAAAATATGTTGATACAGTGTATATGTATAACGCAATACTAGTAGTCATCTAAGTATTGCTGCTTGGTCAGTTAAAATTGCAATATACAGTGAAACTTATCTAATTCAGATGCTTTGTATTCTGAAGTCTTGTCTCATAAGGTGTAAACTTTAAGTCCCTTTCAGTTAAATTCAATTGTTAAAAAATGTTACTAATCTGAAATGTTGTCAAATCTGGCCAATTTCTTTGGAAGCAATGGTGTCCAGTTTATATAAGTTCTACTGTATCAACATACTGATACATAGAGGCAGCTTTTTTTCTTCACAGCAATGGAATTATTAAAGGAGGTGCTAGATAAATCTACTCTTTCTATTTAATTTTTAAAAAAATGAATTAAAACATTTGACATTAACATAAAAACTAGAGAATTTTTATAAAACATGCTCCTGCTAGGAAAAATGATATATTTCCCCCACCCCTTCCCACCTCTGTAAAAAAAATAATGTTTGTATCTCAACATTTCTTACTTTGGCCCCCCGGCCTTTCCTGTTCAGTCTGTCAAAGTTTGCTCTTCATTTGTATTAAGCTGATAGGGCAGAAAGGCAGAAGGATAAAATGTCAAGAGTATTCCCCCTTTATACACACCTGTTGAGCACATTGTCTATAATCCATCATTCCCACGGCAGTCCCCAGGCCTGGACACAGCACACTCTTGATCTTGTTACCAGGGTTCTTCATGTTGTGTTTCTGTACTAACAGTTTTCATAAATAAAAAAAATCAAATACTATAGATTCCTCATTATTATTTCCCCTAATCTGAATCAGCAAACACAAAGGAGAGGAACTAGGACGTTGATAGAAGTGTCTGATCCTTTTGATTGTTAATAAAATATGTTCAAAACAAAACAAAGGAGTCTCTAACTCTCAACATACCATCACAGATATTGTAATTGTAATCACCTGTCTCATTGTTCTTTATTCCTACTTTACAACTATCTGCTGTTGCTAAGAAAAAGAGTTCAGACTCTTTCATTTACATGTAAGTACAGACCAGTTGAGTAAAATCAAGATAATGTACATTAATTACCAGCTAATATGACAGCTCTTAATGCCAAATAAGCATTAACTGTGTTTTCCACACTCTGAGGTACCCTCATGGTAGGTGCTGATATTAGGTACTTGATGGGGGTTTCCTCATTACAACCCTTCAAATCCTCCTCTTTAGGGGGCACCTGCTCATCATAGGCTGGGATAATTACAGCTTGTCCCTTAAATCAAAACAAAATAGGAGATGACTCTTTTTTATTACAGGACAACACCTGTCCAACTGAGATGTGAAGATATGGAAACCTTGATATCCTGAATATTATTGTTATATCCATGATTAGGCATATTCAGGTAACATTTAGTTATTTGTGATGCATCCCGTGAAAAAATATGATTTCAATATTCATTTATTCATTTCAACATACATGTATTTGTTACGTTTTTATACTGCATTATTTTTTTTTACATTATATAGAGTGTATAACTGTAAGGAGAGTGTGCTAAGTGTCAAAACCCATCATTTACTTTTGACATAGCACAAGCAAAACAAAACATCAAAATCTCGACTTTTCTGACTGGGGGGACCAAAATTGCCACATAAACTTATAACTATTACTTATCATATATCAAACATAATGAGATTCACCTTATTTTTGTGTGATTATATTAATCATTTTTTAAGTTTTTCAAGACTTAGAGATTTTTTTTCCCCTAAAATACATAAATATCTTGCACACATAGGACAACTCATAAAATAACAAACTCACAACCAAAATTTCTCCATCAAGTTCTTCTCGAATTACTTTCTGTAAGCGTTCCTGCCTGTGAATTACAAAAATTATAATTGATAACAGAAATAATCTGAATGTGATTTCGATTAAGGGAGAATAGATATTAGACATAGATATACTTCTGATGTTGAAAATTAAAACTGCAGTTTTTATCTTCTTTGATTTCTCATAAAACAACAAAATTATATTTTGAAAAAAGTTCAACCCAGAGGAAAATACTTTTAAACAACTTAATCAATTTTTAAATGGAATTTTATATTAAATCTGGCAAGCTCAGTCCCCATGGTCACCAAATGATTTGCTGCACAATTGAAAAAAAAAAAACACTGCACAGTGAGTGGAAGGTTCAGGGTTCCCATTAATTGTCTCAATGTTTTCTCTTTAACTGATGCATACACTTAATTAGGCCATTCCAAGGTTTTTCTATGTTTAACATCTGCGTGCGCCTTGGTTTGTTACACCCCATCTCACAAAAAACAAACAAAGTCATGAGTCCTCAAATTGAATATTCTGGTCAAAATCACTGAATTCTGTCAATTTCTCAAAATATTTGTCTATAACATGTCATATTAGAAATATTGTAAGCATTGAATACCTTGATTTTGCTGAAGAATAGGTTTTTTCTATGAGAAAAATAGATTAATGAAATCAAATCCTTTGAGTGACGCCATTTTTATGACTATATAAAGTCTGTGTTTTATTTTTTGGTTTTTGTGTTTTTTGCGAATAGGTAGGTAGGTTTTTGAAAGATGGGTGGACGCTAAACAGAGAAAAAACTTGGAATGGCCTTACAATATCTTCTCACAAAAAATTAAAATCAAACAGATTTAAGTTTCTAATAAGCTTAATAATTAAGCAATATATATATATATATATATATATATATATATATATATATATATATATATATATATATATATATATATATATATATTAATGACTTACATTTGCCATCCAAAGTGTCTGGAGTACACCATGTCAATTCCTCCATCCATAAAACCAAAACTGTTAGCAGGGGAAACCTGAAGTTTATATGATAGGATGAAACAAAATATTATAATAATTTTGAAATATTGTATTGTTATTAAGTTCATCCCATAGGAATTGCTGTATATGGGTCATCTCTCCTTTCTTGTTTGGAAAGAAAAAGGAGGGGGTGACCTATATATGGAACAAATGCCTGGGCCAGGCTCAACCTCTGACTCCATGTATGACTGTTGTGTTGTACATGTCTGAGATTCTTTTTATCAAGACATTTAAATAAGTCAACGTTATCACTATTGGTTTATTGCTTTTTGGGTGGTTAACCTACATAGAGATTATACTTACTATGGCATGAGCAGCTGAGGCCTCATGAAATATATCACCACAGGAAATCTGTTATCAAGAAAATATTTAATATTGAATGCATACAAAATCTTAAGTACTAAATCTGATTAAGTGTGAAAATATTGTATCGGGGATATTTGATAATATTTGATGAATAACATCAAATCAACAGAGTCACAGCTTACTAACTAACTTGAACATTTCTATATGAGTTAGGGAAAACAGACTTCCATGCATTGACCATTCCTTGTTCTATATCTCTCAATATGTAGACAACCGGACTTTCTGCCGCTGCATCTTCTACTTTCACTTTGTCGCCCTCTGATTTTTTCGAAGGGGCCTGTGCCTGTTTATTCATTTTATATTTCCGTGAAGAGTGAGAAAATAATGAAATTTACACTGCCTTAAGTGTCAGGATAAATATGCAGGTATGACATCATTGCCAATTTCAATTTGAAACTTTTTTTTATCACAATCGACAATGGCTAATGGAGGCTAGACAACTCGAGGCTAAACTGTTTCGTGCGAATTTTTTTTTTAATATATTCGATCAGTGCATATTATCTATTCAAGATATATTACTAAAGTCAGGTACTCTTCACACAATTGCTCTGACGAAAATAGTTCCATTCATGATCAGTAGATAAAACATTACAACAAATATTAAGAATAATCATGTATATTTAATACGTTAAAGAAAACAAAATTAACGTTAAAAGATTTTAAGAAAATCACTTTTCCCCCAGAAAAGCAAATAAAAAGTTTTCATATTCCTACGCTCTCTGCCTCCTCAGTCTTTTTCACGAAAATATATAGGTCACACTTCGATTGATAATGATAAATCTTTTCACCAATTATATTACTGTCATGATTATTGTTCGTTAATTGCCGTATATTTTCTTTTGAGTTAGAATGTTAATCATTAACTGTGTGTGTGTGTTTTCTCTCTTTTTTAATATATTCGATCAGTGCATATTATCTATTCAAGATATATTACTAAAGTCAGGTACTCTTCACACAATTGCTCCGACGAAAATAGTTCCATTCATGATCAGTAGATACAAGATTACAACAAATGTTAACAATAATGATGTATATTTAATACGTTAAAGAAAACAAAATTAACGTAAAAAGATTTAAAGAAAATCATCTTTTCCCCGGAAAAGCAAATAAAAAGTTTTCATATTCCTACGCTCGCTGCCTCCTCAGTCTTTTTCCCGAAAATATATAGGTCATACTTCGATTGATAATGATAAATCTTTTCACCAGTTATATTACTGTCATTATTATTGTTCGTTCATTGCCTTATAATTTCTTTTGAATGGATATGTTAATCATTAACTGTGTGTTTTTTTCTCTCTTTTAATGAATAACGGAATGGTTATTATGGTTAAATACCTGCAATCGTAACCTCTCGGCAAAGCAACGTAATGTTCCGAGCTCGTCTGAAAGGATCTTCGCACGTGTAGACCTAGGTTATTTGGTCTTGCAAGCACAGGTGTGTGCACCGTTTGCTAGAGACGCTTAGATCACGTAGACTGGGTATCAGTATTTGCTACGGAAATGAAGAAGTTTAGAACTATACACCAGTTTCATAAGAAGTGCAGGTTTTTTACTCAAGCCCTAAATTGGGCTAGAGGGGCTGAGTTATCTAAAACGAGACTAGGTCACCGATCTACTCAGTTTAAAAACACGAAAATATACTAAGTTTATCTTCAAAACATCTGTATATTCAAAATCTATATTAAGTGTTAAATGTCGGATTCTATCCTATGACGAAGGAATATTCAGTGATGCTCCATAGCCGCAACCGATCTCGCGCTTTCCTTTGCGTTTAACAACGGCCGTCAATGCATCTCTGGACAAGTTCATTGATTACAAGTTCATTCGTTCTAAAAGGTGACATGTTGACCATCTTTAACATCTGCCTATACTATGGGTGATAGTAATTTAATAGCACAAGATTAAAAAATAAATTAAAATCTATCCTTGATAGATCTATAGTTTTGCTATTTAAAAAAAATGGGCTATCTTTGATAATCCATAACGGCTTGAACTTGATTTTGATTTTTTTTTTTTTTTACAGAAGATTATATCATTGGAAAGTTATATGGTACACATGTAGCACAGGCCCATATAGTACGCGGGATTTTTTTCGGAGCCCCCCCCCCTTCACTTTGAAAACGTTGCTACAGGCCTGTAACATGCTATTTGGTTTAAATATTCCTGAAAATGAACGAGGTGTTAAATACATTTTTAAAATTATACGATTAATTATATTAAGTCTATGTTCTATGTGAAATTAAAACTATTTTTAGCGACTTTGTGATAGTCACTACATGCATCTACATCTAACGTTATATATGAACATGCAGTTTGTTTCCTAGTACATGCATATTTTATTCAACAAAAGATGTTGAAACTCAGTAGCCTAAATATTTTGTCGTTTTAGGATATTTATGGCACTTTTATTATGACTTTCTACAGCTTGAGTATCTCTGACGTTTTGTCAGTAAATACTTGTTTTTTTATTAGAAATCATCTGAGCACAATGAAAATTCGAATAAATTAAAAGTCGAATATCTTGGATATGGGGTAACCCATATCTATTCTTGTTTATTTATAAAGACGAAAAAACAAACAAACAAAAAAAAACATGACATACACTATTGTTAAAAACTTTTTGTATATTGTATATACATGTACTATACATGGCAAAGTTATTCAGGGGGCACAACTGTCTCATTTAGTAAATTATACATAAACATGTGCTGGCAAAAATTTTTTGGGGGGGGGGGGGCTCCTCCCCAGGTTCCTTAAGTCCTGCTATCCTTAGTTCAAAGGGTTCAAGTTCATTCAAACGGGATTGCCATGTTCACCCTTTTCCTAAATGAGGAGCTCAGGCTGGGTCACTTCAAAATCTTTAATTCTTTTCAAGGGCCACAATGTTAATTAAACTTATATATATGTGAATGATTCTTGACAAAGTGTAAATTCAAGTTTGTTCAAATCATGGCCCTCGGGGTATAGGGTTGGATAACAGTATATCTTTAAATTATGACATCTGATATACTGGTAATTATTAGGGAGAAATCCTGAGAAATCTTCTTAATAACAGCTGCAGGGCCACAACTTGTCAATATTGAAAGCATCCTAAGATAGCACCAAAAAAAAAAAAAAAAAAAAAAAAATTAATTTGTTCAAATTATTTGATGTGACTCCTGGGGTTAGGGTTGGGGCAGCTTTGAATGATCTAGCTCTGTGGAAAATTGGCAAAAAGTAGTTAATGCATAAAATAAGTATATGTTATATAATCCGTAACTAATGCATGAAGTCTGAAGCTAAAAAAATAAGACTGTACTCACAGTGATGAGAAGCTGTGTACGCATAGCCAAAACATTCACAGATAAGTTCCGAATAGAATAAGAAAGTTGGGGGGGGGATATACTGATTCCTATCAAATAAAATAGAAAGTAATTGCCCTGACAAGAATTATAAACTTCAGAGCCCTGTAACCTTGACCCTGTCAAAATGACCTTGATTCTAGGTTTATACCCAACTTTTTAATTAAAACTCATGAGCCTCTATTAAAATTTCTTCATTAAAGTCAAGGCCTAGGAAAGAATTGCACACTTCAAAACTCTGTTTTGATCCTTGACCTTGTTCATGTGAGTTTGTTTCAAGGCAGATCAAACTCTTGTCATCAGCAGATTTTGTGCTAATAAGTTTGAATTTCTTATATATTTACCTATCATAGAGCTAAAGCCCAGACATGAAGTGGGAGCAGATAGAGAAACGTTGATTTCTTAAACCTCATAATCCCTTCCCCCTTTAAAAAAATTTTAAAATGTTGAAAAACCACACATGCAAAACAAAAACAACACAAATAGTAAAAAAAAAAACAACTTTATTTTAGGGGTATAGTCATTGAAACAATTCATCCACCTTCAAAAATTGATCATATTTTATATCAACAGATTATCCCATCTACAAGTATTATGATGTAAAGTAGGTTAATTTTTGTTTAATTCCTTGTTGATATGCTCAGGATAAGTCGATCTAGAATGAATATCATCAAATAATAATATTTTCAGGTTTAATGAATAGTGTAATGAATTTAAAAAGAACTTAATATACAACATTATTTTTATCATATACATGTACCGGTACTGTGGAATCATTATTGTTCGTGGGCCAAGCAGTGTTTGAGGATTTACTTGGTCACCGTACCCACAAATTTACTCCCCACAAATGATTATTTCATCGATGTATCAACATCAACTCCACAAATTAAAATGATTCCACAGTAGTGTATTTCAAGATATTTTCTGAATTATGAGAATTCACAGTACAGATGGCAGTTTTAAAATATGTTACCCTTTTAACATTTACAAGCATAATAACAGTATTCACAATGAAGCAATGCATTAACAATGAATTTTAATTTATTAAAAATGTGTTAAAGGGAGGTAAACCATTGTGTTTGTTAAGAACTGTTCAATAAAACAAACACATGTATCAAACCATGTCAAGTTCCTAAAATGTTTTTCAAAATATGATTCTAAACATGTAATAAGCTGTGGCTATTTAACATATGCTATTATTTAAAGAATAAAATACTTGCTTAAAGAATGCAATAAATAATTGTTGAAGTACACAAGTTATATACTAGAGAAAATTTTAACATATATGCTTTAACAGAATACTGTTGTTTTTCAACTAAATTCTGGTAATGCATATCTGAATTGGTCAGAGATTGTTTTCTCTTGGCACTGAATAAATATACAATGTTTCTCTATAGTCCTACTCATATTTCATCTTCTAGCAGTTAATATTTAAAAAGATCTTGTGGTTAATATTTAAAAGTTTGATTAGACTCCGGTAATGGTGAAGCATCATGTTCATCTGCAACCTGTTAATTAAAAATAAAATTCAGTTATTCACATGTTCGATTAAAAAACTGTCTTGACAGCCCCTTAAATATCGCTTTACATCATTAGATTTGATTATGATTTTAATCAGGATAAGTCACACACTAAGTAAAGACCATGTACCATATGTCACACAATCAACAGAACTGGATTACACTATCATATATTCAGACAATACAAATATTTGGTTCAGGTGAGCTATAATAACAGTTTTTAGCTGATTAAATCAAGATAGAGAATCTATAGAGCTGATTTACCTCTATCATCTTAGCATGATCAATGTTCATGGACCACAGACTTTCTGAACACACTCTAAATCTGTGTTCTGACAGCTTCAATTCATGAGTCCCATAAGCTATACACATCTGTCAAAAGTAGCCATTTCATCATCAATAATCATTTATCTCAAGTTTTTTACCTTGATAGCAGAGTCTGCAGGACTACAGCATACAGGGAAAATTTCGCCCCCATTTTATTTTTGCCCCTTTCACCCTCATCACAAGTGGGCAAATTTAAAACAGGACAAATTAACAAAGG